CCAAAGGGAAGGGCTGTACAGCACCGAGCCAAGGTCAGTGATAATAGCACCCAGGAGCTGGAGTTTCACCCTTATATGCAGTCACTGGGGGGAAACTTGTCAGGGGGTTTTGGGGGCTGAGCCAGTGAGCTTGCAAAGCGGATGGAATGCAGGTGTGCGATCAGGTGTCTTCAGGACAGTTTCCATTCCTGGTATGGTCTGACTCTGGTGTTCAGCAAGTTTTTCCTGGTCTTTTGTTCTCCTGTGGTGGGAAGCTTACAAATGGCTAAGTATCATATTGCCCTATAGTCCTAACACCTAATATCTTTGCAAAACATGTTGAGAGAAGATTTACATTTCTAGAAGAGAGTTTAGGGTAAATTAATATAAGATACATAGAGAACTAAACAAGTGACAAAACAAATTCCAGGAAAACAAAAAGTTGTACAAAAGAGGAAATATAATCATCCTATACTACATGACTCAGCAATGAAAGATATCTCATGGTCGTAACAACATAAATGATATGTAAATACTATTGATCTAATCAAAGGCTGAGACAATAATGCATTATGGGAAGGAGGAGATATGTGAGAGTATGTGTGGGTGTGGTATAGATGTGGGGGGGGGGCAGTAAGTGTGTAACAGAACCATATTTTCATCTTCCATAAAAGGAAGTTGATAGATATATAAAACTGAAAAAATTTTAGAAAAGCAGTATTAAGAATAGAAATATGACTCTAAATACTAAAAGAGACAGAAAAAAAGGATTGGAAACTAGTCCCTTGGAAATAAGACTTGGGAGGGAAGCACATGAAACTCTTGGATTACTGTTTTTCATCAACTTGGTGGAACTATTTAATTTTGTAAACTATGAATATATAAACCGATTAAAAATAAAATTACGTTAAAATTTACTTGTAAATTATAAAATAATAGATAAAGACCATCTTATTGATAGTATTGACAATAAACTATTTTTTTAGTTGCTCTGGTTCAATGTTTATGCTAGATAAATGAAAGCTTACAAATTAGTGTCCAGAACATTGGCATATAGCAAATTCTCAAAAAATAATAATTTCCTTCTAAATAAAAGTACCTAAAACTTTCTTCATGTCAAAACAAATAGAAAAAAGTGAGATGTTTTGATTTTTTTTTGTCTAGCAACATATATTATTCTATTATAAACTAGGCTACATTTAAAAATCATAATTTAATATTAGAAAAAGTTATAGTCCTGTAACTACAATGTGGAAATCAAATAGCTTACAATTGATTTAAATTGTTTCATGTTTCCCCAAACCAATATGATGGTTAACAAATCAAAAGGAAAAATATGCTAGTTAATCATAGCATAAGCTTTTTTCCTAATATGGTATAAGCAATTTCAGCATTCTTACTGTATGACATCTTAGGGTGTGTATTTTCTTAACTCTCAGAGGAAGATTAGTAACGTATCATGTGCTTTTTTTTTTTTAAACCACATTGCTACCCGACTTTAGAGCTCTGAAAAGCCCATGCTCCTTACATTATAATTAAGCAGTGATGTAATCTGATCTGGATTTGTGTCTGAAATAATCACAGGCAATTTCGCAGTGAGGTTTGCCTTGAATTTTTGTTTTATGAATGAATTCTCCTGGAAAATAAAAACTTTCTAGAAATTCTGTTTTAAATGTCTTCTGTGAACTTCACAGATATTCTCAAACAGTATAGTATTATTTGTTCCAAAACCCATGTTCCCCAATTTGGTATCAACTATCAGTACCATTTACCAAGGCTAGCTATCTCTCATATATGAGATTTCAGAAGGTTCCTTATGTTCAGTCTGCTTTCATCTGCAGTCTACAATTCTGCAATTCATCATTTTACATTTTTTACACTTTCCACATGTCAATTACACATCCTTTTAAAATGCAAATGGTGAAATAAAAATCCAAATGGTGATGGCCATTCACTACCTAATATTTTCCCCTAATAACTGGGATCAAAAAAAGGAAGCTGTAAAGAGAGAGAGAGAGAGAGAGAGAGAGAGAGAGAGAGAGAGAATGAGAATGAATTGTATTCCTTAGAATAGGGTCACCGCCTCATTAGAACAGAGTTATCCAACCAGCAGCAAAAGCTAGGGCTCCAATGGTCCCTGCTGTATCTGTACTGCAGATGCCCACAGCCTACACAGCTCACACCTGCAGAATGCCTGGGAAACACTTTGATGGATGGGAGCAATTTTCAGTAACATAGGGAATGATGCTGCTTTGTGCAACACTGTTCCCTTTTTCTTGCAACACAAAGTCAAGTTCTATTTGCCCAATGACACAGCATTTCATTAACAGTGTGCTTTTCTAGCCAGGAGGGTGGTACTAAGGCATGATCTTTGAATAGCATGGCAGGCTTCTGAGGAAAAATGACATACTATATAGATGGACATTTATCTCGTTTAATTAGAAAAGGTCATGAGGCTTTTTGTCTTGTTTTATTTTGTAGACAACAATCACTGATATACGGGTCAAAGGAGCCACATTTATAATAAGAAGAGAATGAGGAAAAAGAAAAAGAATTAATTCAATTAATACTGATTAAAAGTAATATAATTAATAAACCACTAAAATCTATATTTTTGGCTTTTTTCCCCCACTATGAATGGCCCACCCATTGAGTAAGCATTTAGCTGACAAGGAGGGTTTCTCAAAGTTTTTGTGTTGGTTAATGGTTCAAAATTTGTATATCTCCTTTTATAGGATAGAAGCAGTTTTATTGAAGTTATTTGAAATACCAGACACATTTGAAATAACATCCTGCAGAGGCTGGAGGTAGTACAGACACTCTGATAATAATAATAATAAAAAAAGAATGGAAAATTAATATGTAGCACATGTAAATTGGAAAGTAAATTTGCATAAGGACTCCTTTTCAAGTTTTATAATTTACATGATTTATTCTTTTATTTGGTCATTTCCTTGTCTCACAAAGAATTAGAAGTAGTCCTGAAATAAATATGAAAATATAAATAATTTTAAAATCTGTATTAGCTAAAATGTAAATAGGAGTAAGCCAAGATCTTGAAAAAATGTACAGAATTCAGAAATGAAGACAAAAAGGATAAAAGAAGTTGTATTAGCTAAGCTAAATAAATGTTTGGAAATTGAATTCATTTTTGTTGACTATTACATTTTCTCTAAGCTATTGAAAACCATAGCTATTGCCCTGACTGGTTTAGCTCAGTGGATAGAGCATCGGCCTGGAGACTGAAAGGTCCCAGGTTCGATTCCGGTCAAGGGCATGTACCATGGTTGCGGGCACATTCCCAGTGTGGGGTGTGCAGGAGGCAGCGGATCAATGTTTCTATCGATGTTTCTAACTCTCTATCCCTCTCCCTTCCTCTCTGTGGAAAATCAATAAAATATATTTTAAAAAAAGAAAAGAAAACCATAGCCATAAAGTTTGGAGAGTGTGAGGCAAGTCCCTCAGCAGACTTATTTAAGTGCTTTGCACTTTGTAGACATTTAATAAATTCCTGTTGAACTGAGAAAATTTTTCAAGCTTTACACCTTTAGTAGTTAGAACATGAGACCAATCAATTATTAAGTCTTCATGCTATTATTATAACAGATTTTTTGTTGTATTTGTTTTTATTTTTCTAATTTTAAATGTAGTGTATGTTCATTGTATATAATTATGTACTTAGATATTAAAAATTTAAATCTCACATACCATCAGATCTAAAGGGAAATAACAGTAAAGTATATTTTTCTTCATTAAGTTTCTCTTCCCCATCACCTACCCTCTCTGTGAGGGAGGAGGAAGAAGATGATGACATACCATAAAGATACTGAAGTAGGGATCAGAAAACCTGCATCCAGTCAGGGCACTGCTACTAGCTGGGCTAGTCCATGGGAGGTAAATAGATTTCATCTTTAAGCCAGATCTCTGACTGATAGAAGAAGCTGCCTAGAGTGCTCCTTGGCCTTTGGTCACATCTGGATTCAGCAGGAAAACATGCCATCATGTGAACATAATTTTGCCAGTGGCCACCCTGGAGTCTATTATTAAATTTATCAGTGATATGGATTGAACTGTGGTAGGCAATTAGACACACATGAGCTGAGCAAGGACGATGGACCAGGTATAGAAGGTCAGCAGGGCAGAAAGCCCTGGGTGGCTAGCGATGTGCAAAACTGGACAAACAAGGACTTTGACCCCAGGATGACCTTTCCTCCCTTAACATATGGTTGGTCATGCGGTTCAGACCCTCACCTTTCCTCCCTTGGCATGTTGCTAGTCATGCAGGTTAGACCCCCTTAGAGGAGGAACAGAAAAGGGGGCCAGAAAATAGCCCTTAAATATTAAGTACCCAGGACAACGAGGTTCTGACGGAATCAAATATATCTAGGCCTCAGTTATGTTTCAGCTCTAGGCCCAGAAAAGCATCAAAACCAGACAAGCGACACTGGCTGACATCAGGACCAGCTGTGTTGATTAATGACCCCCTGCCCTGGCACCGACCAGTCAGTGGAGACCATGACCCTGAGAGAACACACCTGGAAAGCTGATGAATAATCTATTGGGATAATCCCCTGAGACCTACAGATAAATTACCCTTAAGACAGAGAACCCAGTACCAAGCTCTCCCCAGAGCACACCGGTGCCTTTCCTCTTCTGCTGGAAGCATTGTCTTTGCCTCTCTTGCTTCTAAGTTTGCCTCTGTAACTTGTTCTCTAAGCCCATGCAGCTCAGCTGGCTCACTTCTTCCACCACTCAGCTCTTCCACCTCTGTGACTTCCTAAATAAACTTTTGCTTGTATTTGAGTCTTAGCTCTGAATTCTTCCTTAGCCAGAACTCTGGGGACTGAGGTTGCTGAACTGAGGTCCATTTGCTGATAACATTTCGGTGCCATTTTCACCAACAACAGAATTACATTATTTATATAGTGTCTTTCAACTCTAATATATCATTATTAGGTAAAGAAAAATCATAGTTGAAGTTTTCAGGAATATTTTAAAATACAGGTTTCATTGTTATTTAGGTATGGCAAGGCCAATAGATCGGGAGATGACTACCATGAAAACGAAAATTTATTATACTCACAGATCCTGAGAGGAAAGGGTACACCCCATCATGAGGATCACACAGGGAAGCATGAGGTAAGTCAGAGGCAGAGGGAGTAGGGGGAAATGTTGGCAAGAGCCTTGACTGTGGTTTCTGCAAAAAGAAACAGGTTTAGGATTATCTAATTCAAATAATTCCAGTGGGGTCTGGAGCACAGGGGCTGTCCCCTAGTTGTCTGGTAGCCAGCCCTGGGGTGATTAGGGCAGGGGAATAGCTGCCCTGAGTGTGGGAGCAGGGAAGAGGTGGTTGGGGGTGTGGGCTCTGGATTGGTTGGTTTACAGTCCCTCTGGAGTCATCAAGGCCCCGATTTCAAAGCATTAAGATACAGAAAATAAAAAGACATGGTTAACACAAGGCACTTCTTAGAATATCAGTTGTTTTTTTGCATTTCATTTAATTCAATACAGTGTCTCTTACTGCTATGAATTCCTTTGATTATGGGGAGAAAATGTAAGCAACAAGTAATAATCTGTTCTTTTCCAAATGGGAGAGTGCTCAGACATCTGAAAGAGATATCCCCTAAACACTCCTATATTGTTTTGGTTGTACTAACAGCAGTTTGGGTCTAGTTGTCCACTGTTAACAACAAGTTCATGATCTGTTATTGAATATTTTCAGAATATTACTCACAGTTTATTGTTGAGACTGCCAAATCCAACCAATCAGTTTATGACTGCCCATCTGGTGGCTAGACATCACGATAATCTTACCTAAAGAGAAAGACAGTCAATATCATAGATTATTATATCTTACTAGAGGCCTGGTGCACAAATTCATGCACAGGTGGGGTCCCTCGGCCTGGACAGCGATCGAGGCCTATCAGGGGGCCGGCCGGCTGGGGGTAGGGACCCCAGGAGGTTGGCTGGCCAGGGGAAGGGGCTGTGGGAGGTTGACCGGCACAGCGGGTGGGGCCATGGGAGGTTGGCCAGCTGGCCCCTGGATCAGGGCCGATCAGGGGGCTGGCCAGGGGGAAGAGCCATGGGAGGTTGGCTGTGGAAGCTCACTGACCACCAGGGGGCAGCTCCTGCATTGAGTGTCTGCCCCCTGATGGTTAGTGCGCATCATAACGACTGGTCGACCGGTCATTCTGGTCGTTCTGCCG